CACCCGCACAAGAAAGCATTGCCGCCACCTCTTCCGAGGAACTTCGACATCCACAACTCGACCGGCACATCGCCGTCGCAATCGGCTTGCGGACGCCCCGCATCTCGGAGGAGGAGGAGGAGGAGGAAGAGGACGAGGAGGGGAGGGGAGATGAGGGAGAAGAAGAGGGAGAGGAGGAGGGGGATGGAGGAGAAAGAGGAGGAGGAGGAGGGGGAGGAAGGAGGAGGAGTTGTAGCAGCAGTACCTACGAGCACGAGGTGGTTCTACAACAACAACAACAACAACAACAACAACAACAACAACAACAAGAACGAGGCGCAGTTGACCGGCCCGTCCAGTGGGGAGCTCCACAGCGCCTCCTCCCCTAGGGACAAGGCCGACTTGACCGGCCCGGGGGCAACCGCGGGACCCCAGCAACCCGAAAGTTACTGATGAAGAACCAAGCTCTCAACGCTACGTCCTCCATGCGGATTCTGGACAGCACGACGCGTTGTTGCGCACCGTGCAGCGAGTCTGAGGGAATCTATAGGATCCTATAGGAAATCCTATAGGATCCCTTAGGAATACTATAGGATTCCTTAGGAATCCTATAGGAATCCTATAGGATCCCTTTGGAATCCTATGGGATTCCTTAGGAATCCTATAGGATCCCTTTGGAATCCTATGGGATTCCTTAGGAATCCTATAGGAATCCTATAGGATCCCTTAGGAATCCTATGGGATTCCTTAGGAATCCTATGGGATTCCTTAGGAATCCTATAGGAATCCTATAGGATCCCTTAGGAATCCTATGGGATCCCTTAGGAATCCTAGAGGATCCCTTAGGAATCCTATAGGATTCCTTAGGAACCCTGTGGGATCCCTTAGGAAATCCTATGGAATCCCTTAGGAATCCTATAGGATCCCTTAGGAATCCATAGTATTCCTTTTATTCTCCAATACTTAAGGATCAAGGAGGAATCAAGGAGGTAGAGGCTCAACTAGGAACCTTGTAGGGACCCTTTCGGAACCTATAGGATCCCTTAGGAATCCCATAGAGGAGCTCTATTAGCTCTATGAGGAGCTCTGCTAGGATCCTATAAGATCCTATAGGATCTATAGGATCCTCTAGAAATCCTATGAAATCCCATAGGAAATCCTATAGGATCCTATAGAAATCCTATAGGACCCTATAGGAAATCTATGAAATCCTATAGGATCCTCTAGAAATCCTATAGGACCCTATAGGATCCTATAGGACCCTATAGGATCCTATAAGATCCCTTAGGAATACTATAGGATTCCTTAGGAATCCTATAGGAATCCTATAGGATCCCTTAGGAATCCTATGGGATCCCTTAGGAATTCTATAGGATCCCATAGGAATCCTATGGGATCCCTTAGGAATCCTATGGGATCCCTTAGGAATCCTATAGGATCCCTTAGGAATCCTATGGCATCCCTTAGGAATCCTATAGGATCCCTTAGGAATCCGATGGGATCCCTTAGGAATCCTATAGGATCCCTTAGGAATCCTATGGGATCCCTTAGGAATCCTATGGGATCCCTTAGGAATCCTATAGGATCCCTTAGGAATCCTATGGGATCCCTTAGGAATCCTGTGGGATCCCCTAAGAATCCGATGGGATCCCTTAGGAATCCTATGGGATCCCTTAGGAATACTATAGGATTCATTAAGAACCCTAGAGGATCCTATGGGATCCCTGAGGAATCCCTTAGGAATCCTATTGGATCCCTTAGGAATCCTATAGGAATCCTATGGGATCCCTTAGGAATCCTATAGGAATCTTATAGGATCCCTTAGGAATCCTATGGGGTCCCTTAGGAATCCTATGGGATCCCTTAGGAATCCGATGGGATCCCTTAGGAATCCTATAGGATCCCTTAGGAATCCTATAGGATTCCTTAGGAACCCTGTGGGATCCCTTCGGAATCCTATAGGATCCCTTAGGAATCCTATAGGATTCCTTAGGAACCCTGTGGGATCCCTTCGGAATCCTATAGGATCCCTTAGGAATCCCATAGAGGAGCTCTATGAGCTCTATGAGGAGCTCTGCTAGGAGCTCTATCAGGACCTCTGTTAGGAGCTCTACTACGAGCTCTACTACGAGCTCTATTAGGAGCTCTACTACGAGCTCTAATACGAGCTCTACCACGAGCTCTAATACGAGCTCTATTAAGAGCTCTACTACGAGCCCTACTACGAGCTCTACTACGAGATCTACTACGAGCCCTACGAGGAGCTCTACTTCGAGTTCTACCACGAGCTCTACCACGAGCTCTACTACGAGCTCTACCACGAGCTCTACTACGAGCTCTATTAGGAGCTCCGTTTGGAGCTCTGTTAAGAGCCCTGTTAGGAGCTCTACCAGGAGCTCGCTTTGGAGCTCTACTACGAGCTCTACTACGAGCTCCATGAGGAGTTAATCTGCGAGCTCTACCAGGAGCTCTACTGGTAGCTCGATTAGGAGGTCTACTATGAGCTCTACTACGTGCTCTA